ACTGCATCTATCGTGCTTTTATCCATAGTGTCAAGTCTATGACTTCCTATGCACTAGTCTCTTGTATGCCAACCCACAAATGTGGCACAATAAGATCAATGAAAAGAAGACGAATAGATTAAGGTATCATCTTTAATTTTAGGAAAAGAAATCGCAAGGAGATCTGAAAGGAACAATCAGAAGCCAAGAGGAGACGTCTTCAGTGAGCTTAATCAAAACAATTATAACCTACTTCTAGAACCCCAACATTTGTGGGTTCGTACACAAGAGACTAGGGCATAGGACACACCATATAACATTTTAATAAGCAAGTAAAAAGTTTGATAGTGAAGGGGTGATACGAGCATATAGCAATGATGATTAGCCCAGGGTGGAAGGAGAGCTACCACGATTGCTTAGCAGATAATTGGTCAAAAGATTGGCTTTACTTGTCTCTTTGACAAGTTGTAGTGTGGTACTAAGACTGGTAATGCTCACTGATGATGTCGACTACGATATCGGCGAAACATCTGTGAATGTACCACGTCCACGGTCCGACTCTAGAAATGTTCATGCATATTATGGACTCCAGGCCAGGTGCGTTCCCCTCGATCTTCCTACCAATATGCCCAAGTTGCGAAAACAAGGTCAAACAACTTTTGTATTTTTTTTAAAGTCAACTTAATGAACTAGACTCTAACAATATTATTTCTTAATCATGGAACTAATAAAACAGATTCTTTATATTATATTAAGTTCATTTTTACCCATTTATCATCATGACTTTTGGGACCATCTTTTGTTCCACTTCATCATCATTGATATGTCTTTTCAACAACACTGTAAATCTTCTCTATTTCTGACACGAACTACATACATCTCGATGGATTAATTTGTACAGGTTTTCGTTCTCTTCCATCTTCTTTTCTTCTTTGTTTCGTCTTTGTTTTTCAGTGTGAACAATTAGAGGATCATCAGCGCCGTTTGGTTGATCTGGATCACCAGCTTGTTGAGATGACTGCTAAGAGATCTCAGTTGTCTCAGATTGGATTGGGACAATCAACTAGTGGTTCTATGGCTTCGTTAACCTCCACCACAGCTGCTACTAGTGGACTACCGACTTCTGGTTCTTCTGGCCCCAGTGCTTCTGTGGTGCCTCTCATTTCCGCCCCTGGAATGTCGGGCCCTGATGCTAACGAATTGCAGACTGGTACTAACGCAAACACTGGCACTCACTCAGGTTTGTCCTTTTAACTTTTCGTTTTCATTTTACTATTTTACTCAGTTCTGTCAATTCTATTGGCTATATCTCGCTCTTGAAGCCTATCATTAGTTGTATAAGCTCTGATGAAATCACAATGGCTTTTAGCAACGTTACTCTTTTCTCAATCATCAACTTTCCAATCACTGCCTTACTGCCCTCTACTACTTACACTGAATTTTCTCCAAACAAAATTATAATAGATTTTAATATTGGCTTTGTATTTTCAATTATTTAATTCTTCGAATGATTTTACTGGTTGCTTCAGAGCATTTTTTCTATAGAGCCTTTTATTGCTCCGATATCTCGACCTATTGAATTTAACAAATCCCTTCTATATTTTGCCTATGGTTTGTTTGTTTAGGCTAAACTATATAACATAATTCACTTGATCTTGTTTATATTTTTGCTTCTTGAAGTTATGAGAAGATGTGCGAATCTGTTTTTTACTGTCTTAAGCTTCTTTGCTAGCCTTTTTATCACTAACTGATTTTCAGTTCTTTTCTTATATTTCTTGTATGCTTTTACAGATGAATCAGATGCGATCGCAGCCCCAATCCTTGATTCCGCTCAAACATCTCTTCCCTCTACCCAACCTAATATTGCCGTCACCGCTCGGCCACCTATACCGCCCGGACTCATCAACGCTGGGCAGGCGGCTGCTCCATTGCCAACGCATACACCCACATCTAATAGCTTAGTAAGTTTGGCTGCGGCTGCATTCTCTACGGGCAGTCTGGGTCGCCGACGTAAGGACAGCAGTGGCACACCTGCTTCCAGCAGCCTTTCTTCAGCAAGTCTCACTAGTCTTCTTCAATTGGGGTCTGTAGAGGGCTCGGCGGCTACTGGGTCCTTGTCGTCTACGGCAGCAGCCGTGCGGCAGCGGCAGAGCCTGCTTGTCGAGCTAGATGAACGGATACATTTTGTCGAAGGTAAATTTTCTTGATTCTTTATATATCTCTATGCTCAACCCTTTCATGAGGACCTTAAGCCCATATAATTTCACGTCTTGTATTTGATATGTAAATATTCCGATATTATATTATATTATTCAGATTCAGGATTAATTGAAAATTGATATACTTGGTATTAC